ATGTTGCACTGTACATGTCGCTGCACTTCCATTCGCATATATATATATACATATATCCCAGGAAGTCCACTATGGAATCGGAAAGAAATACCCAGCTCTACCACATACACGCCACCTGGTACATCATATTGTGGCAAATAACTAGACTTAGTGGCCCTCAGTCTATGAACGCTTTCCCAGCATCTCACCGTCATGTGATTTTCTCGAACCTTGGATTAATTTGACCACCCCCTGTGTTCGCAACCCCTGACGGCTTGATGTCTGCTCGGTGATGTTCACAAACCCTTGGCATTGGTGAACCCTTAGCATGTACAAAAAGTTGTCAGAGCAGTATTTCCATGTTCTGTCATCCGATAATGAAGGTCTGGCCCGGCATGGTCGGGCATGCAAAATCTCCGGCCAAACGCTTCAGCACAGGGTTTTCTGATCATTGTGTTGGAGCATGTTGGGGCTGCAGAACAATGGTTTGATTAACAATTGGTATACGCTTCTTGGATTCTTGCATCCTCTAGAAAGCAACGCCATTTCTCCAGTGAGACGTTTGTGCTACCAGAAACAAGCTTAGGAAGCCACTTCTTTGCATAAGCATAGTTGGATTTCTATTAATTATGTCACCCTCAAACCACCCTCAAATATGATTGGAACATAACATACTCCTTGAGTTTCATGTACGTCTGGCGTGAGGGTTCTGATTTGATAAAAACAGTTGTTGATAGAATGCATTAGGCGCGTTGCTTCCTTGAATAATGTAAAACCTTGTTCCGCAGTCGCAGCCTGAGATGATGGAGTCTCGGCCCGGGAAGTTTGTTTTACAAATAGACCAACATTGCGAAAGGAACACGTCCAACAGAACTTACGTGTAAACGAAATGAGTCTGTATCTTCTGGTTGCTCTGTGTCTTTGGGCAGGGCAAAGTGAAATGAACTTGGCTTCCTTCAGCAGTTGTTTGCTATCTCTGCGCTGACTCTCTCTCCTACTCTCTCTCTCTCTCTCAACTAAGTTCCCTACAAATCTAGGAACCACATGAATAGTGCGAGTGATTCTTCAAGGCAAGTTCCGTAGCCGGTCCATACTTTAACTTTAAATAGCTACTTGTTAGCTACCACCTCTTTGCGGCCTACCAGGGCCCACCCCCTAACAAAAAATACACATCCTCTGTCCCTGAAGAAAGCTGTGTCGCCTTGCTACATCTTCAATCCCCCCTGTTCTTCTACGTATGCCGTCGATCCTAACAAACATGTCACCCCTGACACCCCTCACCTGCCTCCCTTTTTCCCCTGTCCTCATTTCTGTGGCAGTGCTTGTACTGTTGTGTTTCAAATGAGCTGACCATAGCTGACCAACATTTCAGTAAGTTCTTTGTGGGCAAGCTTCCAATTATGACCTGACTTCCTGGCCTCTGCGTTGACCCGATTGATTTTGCCGAAGGAATATTTGTAGGATTGGAACTAGTTCTGGTATTATGAAACCAGGCTTGGTGTTTGGTCATCTTGTGATTGAAAGAAACTGTTCTTGATTTCATGAGCCAGTGTTCAACGGATATACAGGAAATTTTATACCCCATATATATATATAATTAATACCAAATAATATATGTTATTTTGTATATTGATACTTTGATAGTGCTAGTTTTGTTGCCCTGGCTATTCGTTGCAGGTTGGAGAACTAAAGCCTTCTAGGACCAGTGAAATTACAGTAAATCATCAAATCATAAGATCTATGCATCCCCAACAGTTTCCTGTAATTACTTCAATTACGCTTACTGAGCTGAGTATATATATTGTATGTCTTCTCCATGTTGTCCACCGTTCTGAGCCATAGTTGAAATCCCCGGTTCATATAGGTAAAACGTTGAAAGCCTCGGATGGTCAAACCGGCGAAGCATCGAAATGATCCTTCGAAGGAATAGCGAGCGACCGTCGGGTTCCCGACGGATCTCCAAGGATCCACCCACTCCCAGAAGACTTCATTTGTGTAGACTTCTTCCAGGCCGAAGCTGAAAGAATTCAGGATGATGACCACTGCAGGGATCTAGGCCGGTCAGATTCGATCGCGAGCCACAGCAAGGCTCACTGGGGCCTTCTTACTGAGATGTTTCTCTGGCTCGGGGAGATGTTCGTTTCTTATGTTCAGCTTCATACATGCCAGGTTTTCTCCTGCAAATGCAGGAGAGCCTCTTGTCTGTGCCGTGGTGTCGCGTTGTGCAACAAAACAAATCCCCATGCATTGATGATACTTTGGTCCTAGACAGTGTGGAAAGAGTTACGTGGGTCGTTGATTGGGTAAGGACATGTGGAACGCATGCAATTGTCAGACTCTAGCCGAATACTCTCCCACAACAGTCATGAAAGAGTGCAAAGGAGAATGGCTTCCACGGGTCCACGTTCCACTTCCCGGACACCTTCAGTCGAACAATGGGTGAACAAAAACTCTGAGGAACCTGAACACCAAAAATAACATATGATAGCTGCTCTGGCCGGCCTCACCGCCCTGACATTGGAACACATGGACGGGCCGTTTAGAACCAAACCGTCTGATCCAAACGGTCGCATGGGTCTAGCTTGCCCCTGTTAAGAGAAATAGCTGGCCAAAAAATGATGCAGAAAAAAGGACATGATGAGAATGGTCATGGCACCCTGGTTACACCGGTAATCATAGTCACAGTGGCATTAACTTGGTGCATCTTGACCCTCTCCATAAAAAAATGTAATAAAAACTACTGTATATTATGAGGATTTGCAGGAACCGAGAAGAGCTAGTGACAATTGACAATCCCGAAGGGGAGTGAGCGAGATCAGGGACATTAATTGATCCGAACAGACAATAGTCAAGCAAATAGTGAGGAACACCGACAGAAAGGGGGAGAGGTCACGCAAAGGGACCATCATACCTGGATCAAAAAGGGACCATGAAGATCCATCAACCGTCACGAGCTTCTTCACCCTGCCGCTTGATGCATGCCATCACCGGTATAACATAACAAACATTATCTGAGACGTCACGGGCAAGACACAAACTCGAGGCATCTTTGCGTGCATGGAGACAAGACCTCATCACTTCGAGCCAACAAGGGGATGTTCTAAACGTGATGGGATTGCTTGAGGCTTTCGGAAACTTGGAAACGGCTCAAAAAGTAGGAAGTCTATGAATCCGAGTGCTACCCTACCGTCCTCTACCCTTGGTCCTCTACTCGCTACTCTATATATCATCGCATTGCCGCATATATATACTAAAGTTGTAACATTGCAGGAGTTCACAGTGATTCTTTTGTGGCAAAACGATTGAGTGTTCATTGTTCATGGGGTTACAGACTTCATGAGGACTTGATATCAATGCGTGGCACGTGACTGGAGTGCTACCTTCCCATACTGGTGTGTTATAGATTAATTAATCATTAATCCACGTTGGAACCCAAGAAGTTCTCAATCAAAGACAAAGCAATTACACAACTGTCAAACAGTTATATATCAAAACTGAGTTTCAACCGCAAACCCAAAAAGTAACCGTGTTCCCGGTCTTCACAATAGTGCAGCATGTGCTTGTACTCCTCTGAGGCTCTGAGGATCAACAAACAAACTGAAATCACTCGAACGACCACAAACCTCTATTCTAGTTATGTACTTGATTGATAGGAAAATAATCTTGAAGGTGTAGGAAGAGCTGATGCGGGGGATTTGTCCGAGTTGTTTTTCACTATATAGCATTTGTACCAGCTTTCGAACAGGTTTAGAAGAGGTCAATTAAGTAGTTGTAGACGGATAGGGACAAAACCTAACTGATCATGGAAGAAATCCAAATCAAACCTTGAACCCCCGACACATTGCAAATACAAGGACGGAACATACAAGGTGCAAGGTACCCTTTCCCCATCTCAGGTAATTCACAACTTCTTTCCTACGAACGTGGATTCCATGGGTGCCATTGAAATCCTGAGCAAAAAGACTCCTGCCAGCGTGCTGAGATCACGTCCCATGTTCTACTTGGCAGGTTTTCTATGCGAAAGCAGTGGATCCCTTGGCAATCCACCGACAGCAA